TCTTGGAATTTGCTTTGAAAACAGTTTGGGGTTTTGTTGGTGGTTTTTTGACTTTAAAAATAAAATGGCAAGCCTGTGTGATATTTCTGATTGCTGTTTGTCGCTCCTAACGACAGTGTTAGCCAGGCAGGCGCATGGCGGCTCAGGAATTTGTCCCTCCCCAAAGAGAGCTGCCAACAAGATGACGAGTTATAAACATAGCCAACCAAGACAGCCTGCGGCGCAGGATTGTTGCAGAGGTGGAGAAGGACCTTTCCCAGAGCACAGCCAGGCGTGGTCCTGGCCTCTTGCAGCATGAAAATGGGGCTGTCCCTGTGGGTCTGAGCTGCAGTGCCACTGCCCAGGCTTCAGCAGCAGCACTTTCACCAGTTGCCCCAGTGTTCGGGATTTGGTGAACAATTATTCAACACTTCTGAGACCTCATAAACCCATCCTCCTTCAGCCTTCTCCTCCCCAAACAGGGGAGTCTCAGCTCCTCTAGTCCTTCACACCAAGGTTCCATTGTTTAACTTGCCTCTGTCTGTATATTTCAAAATCTGCTGTGTCTTGGGGAGATGCAGACCCCACCACCATGGAGTACACAAAGTGTGGATTGCCTAGATAGACCAGTTTCCCAGCACCCACTCTGGTGATCCCCAGCATTTTTTTATCTTGCTTTCACTGCTACTACATATAGCACTGAAGATTTCAGAGAGCTGTCAGCCACAACTGTAAGCTCTTGCTTCTGTTGTGACTGTCAGTTCCAAGTTCAGCATTGTGTAGGCATGCTTCAGATGATTTTTTCCATAGATAGCTGTGGTGAAACGTGCACCTCGGAGCTTGGTTGCCAGCTTTGTTGCCCACTCATTAGGTTTAGGCTTTAGCATTCACAGTGCTGCTGTGCTTCATGCACTGGGCTGTACCAATGCACATCCCTGGGCACAGACAGGCATCTTGGGGGTCTTGTCCTGTTCAGAACTATCCTGGCAGAGACTTTACCTGTTTTTCAGCCAGTGATTTTGGGTTGTTCCTCTCGGATGAAGACCCAAAGAAAGGGATCTGGCTGGAAGCTGGGAAGGCTCTGGACTACTACATGCTTCGTAATGGGGTAAGTATCCATCCCATATCCTTACACCTGGTACCTACCTTGGCTCCATGGTTGGGTGTGCCCACAGTGTGGTGGTGGTGTGGGTGCCTGCCCTGCTGCCTTGCGTCTTGCCCTGCAGCACACCATTTTCCCCCTGGCAATTGCAGTGGGGAGATAGGAGCGCTTGGTGTGATGGTGGGATGTGTGTGCTCTGCACTGGTGCCACTGCTGGGAGCTGTGCTCCACTGTGCCCACAGGATACCATGGAGTATAAGAAGAAGCAGCGGCCCCTGAAGATCCGTATGCTGGATGGGACAGTGAAAACGGTGATGGTGGATGACTCCAAAACTGTCACGGACATGCTCATGACAATCTGTGCCCGGATTGGTGAGAGGAAAGGGCAGCAAAAGGGAGGCAGAAGGGAGGTGGGGAAAGATGACAACATCTTACAGGCTGCAGCACCTCTGCAGCAGATGGCCTGGCAGTGGAGGTGTCCGAGGGCTGCATGACACTGGGAAGGGGCTACTGCTCTGCACCACTGCATTGCTCTGTGCTCTGTATTTGGCAGCAAAATCATGCATAGCGGTCCTCTGCTCTCCTGCAGGCATCACCAACTATGATGAGTACTCGCTTGTTCGAGAGATTATGGAAGAGAAGAAGGAGGAGGTTACTGGCACCCTCAAGAAAGACAAGACCCTGCTGCGAGATGAGAAGAAGATGGAGAAGCTCAAGCAGAAGTTGCACACAGATGACGAATGTAGGTGCCTGGGCATACTGGGGACAGAGTCAGCCCATGCCAAGGGCAGTGGGGAGGGAAGCAGGAACCCCTGTGGAGGCCAGAGCCAGTTGGGGAGTATGGAGGACTGTGATGAGGGAATATATGCCCGCACTCC